CCCCAAAACCCCAAAACCCCGCTTTTCGAGTTTTCATTGAAGTTTAGAGCAATAAAATATTAGTTGTTTAAGAGTAATTAAATGAGAGAAGTGATATTTTTAACTATTAGAAAATATAAAAATATACAGGTTATTGAGTTTATATTTGGATAATTCAAACTAATTACAAAGTAGCATATTCAACTACAATGATAAGGTTTACTAATTACTTTCATTAGGAATGGTGTATTGATTAAGAGTCTATGGTTTGGTTGTTGACCAGTGAAATTTCTGTACTTTCATTTCCCATATCATTATTAATGCCTTAATAAGAGTTTTTAATCTTCCCAAAACCAATAAAATCCTCATTATTTTGCTCTAAATCATTCTGTGATTATTGAGATTCTATGCTTCTTTTGAAATTACAAATATTTTGCTGCGAAAATACTGCTTTCTTTGATTTTTTGCTTTTCTTTGACTTATTTTGCTTTGCACACATGTTAGAGCTCTCGCTCTCTGTTAAGTTGTCAAATATTGAGCTTTTCTGAATGTTAATCTTTCTAGGTCCTTTTCTCTTTTCCGTCAGCTTAAGATTAATCTTTTATAGTCTTTTATTAATATTGGACTAAGAGTGAGAGCCTTTAATAGAGTGATTAAGTTGGGATGATGCGTTGTAGCCATCAAAGGTAGATTCATTTTAGTCAATTGTTAACTGACTCGAATCAAAGGTAAACTCTGAGGATTGCTTAGAATTGGATGTGTTTTATCCATAATTCAGCAAGTTAGTCAAGAGAGCATTATCCTTTTAGATATTGAATGCATTCACTTTTTCTGAATGAGGTTTGCTTATAATACTTTGTGGTAGTAATCTCTTATTAAGTCTAAAGAAGTCCGTAATTTTCTAACCATTTTTACTTCTCTTGAAAATGAGGCTATCTTATTATTCTGAAGACTCTGAATTAGCAATCTTCACCTCTAGTCTTTCTTTAGTCCCATCAATAGCAGAGTTTATTCTCTTTTGCTACTCTTTACGATCCTAAATTTCTTAAAGCTTTTTGTAGAAAGCACTCTTTGCTCCTGATTTTTCAGAAGCATTATTGACAAGATTTTCAGTATAAGAGTTCCTGAGTTTCTAAATATCATCAAGGATGCTAAGTTTCATTGATTCTTTGATTTTAAGGGGCAATATGGTTTCATTATTGCATTCAGACTATTAATGGTTATCGCTCATTTACAGGATTATTTTATATGTTTAATGATTATAAATAACTTTTCCAAATTCTAGCTTTTATAGATTTAATTATTCCCTCCAAAACATCCACAAATTTGCTTAGTTAATTAGCCTTTAGTATTTTAATATAAATTTTTATTATCTCTCAATTCGATCAGCACTCATAGTACTCGGGGTTTTGGGGTTTTGGGGTTTTGGGG